TAAGCTGCACTGGAATTTGGAACGAACTTAATTCAGTTGCTGTAAAATAAAGATTTGATTATCTAAAATATGTTAAAATCTGTCTGGGAAATATAAAGATTACTCCTGGACCAAAATCTATAAAACGTGATAAAAGTTTACGAGCTCAATGGAACACCAGGATTAGAAAGAAAATTAAAGGGATTGTTAAACTATTTAAGAATACATATTTATAAACTATGAAATGATGAAAACTTAAAAAAATAATTTTCACGTATTAATTATATTATTAATTATATTATCAATTATAATATGAGTATACCTAAGCTGTTTAGGCTACTCTGATTTATCGTACTTTTCAGATTCGAAGCGTATTTGCTGAATTTGATCTGTTTAAAACTTTGATTTATATACCACATCATATATATATAAGTTTTGGTATAACGTTGACACAGTTTTACTATAAATGTTCAGTTTTCAGCCTAAACCCCCTTTCATTTTTCCTTAACAGTCCCTTTAATAGTCATATTACTACAAAAAAATACATGATCAATCCTTTTTTGTAAGTTTAGTTATTTATAAAAAAATATTGAGACTAGCTACGACTAGAAACTTCAGATCATTTGCAAAAGTTCCCAAAAACAGTTTATTTAATAAATGGCAAAATGTGAAAATTATAGAGAGAAGATAAAAAACCTAATGGAATGGCGACCAAAGATATCAAGAGGAAGGAATATTCAAAGAATTTGACCTAAAATTTGTTTAAACAGGTTACATACTAGGTTACTTTGATATCTGTCTATCTACCTTTCTATCTATCTATCTATCTATCTATCTATCTATCTATCTATCTATCTATCTATTTATCTATATATCTATCTATCTATCTATCTATCTATCTATCTATCTATCTATCTATATATCTATCTATCTATCTATCTATCTATCTATCTATCTATCTATCTATCTATCTAAGTAGAGTATATAATGTGATTAGAGAAGGATAAGATAAGGAATGAGGGCTACTGGAATACAAGGCGACTTCTGAACCTTCTATCTCTATATCTATTGAACTATCTATCTATATATCTATCTATCTATCTATCTATCAATCTATATATCTATCTATCTATCTATCTTTCAATCTATCTATCTATCTATCTATCTATCTATCTATCTATCTATCTATCTATCTATCTATCTATCTATCTATCTACTAAGTAGAGTATATAATGTGATTAGAGAAGGATAAGATAAGGAATGAGGGCTACTGGAATACAAGGCGACTTCTGAACCTTCTATCTCTATATCTATTGAACTATCTATCTATATATCTATCTATCTATCTATCTATCTATCTATCTATCTATCTATCTATCTATCTATCTATCTATCTATCTATCTATCTATCTATCTTTCTATCTTATGGATATAAAATGTACCCCCGCCCCTCTCCAAAAATAGCAAATTTTCTTTTCTGTTTTATCTAACAAGCATTAAAAATAGAGAGCTTAGAGGCTTTTATTTTGTATCTCCTTTACGTCAGAAAAATATTTCAAATTCTTCTAAGTTTAGTCCTAGAACCATATCTGATACGTTTATATTTTTTTACCACCATCGTTCATTATTTTTATTTACCTATCTTCTAATCTTTCATCACACTAATGTTTTTGCTTTTTAACTTATTTACTAATCTATGACAATTTATCCATTTATTTATTAATTTGTTCATTCGTCTAGAAATTAATTTACTGTTTTATTTGACTTACATCTGATGTCGAGAGCGCAAACACAGTTCCCCGCCAGGTGTAAACTCCTGAAAAATATAAAAAATATTAAATATCTCTATATCTTGTTAAACTTAAGTAAATTTCAAGTCAAATGTTTTGAATCATAACTCCTCTTGTAGACCTATTGAGAATAACAAAATGCTGTGAATTTAACAAATGTAGCTCCGGATAATTTGTTACTCTCATACTTTAAGTCCGCCCAATTGTGCCGAAATCTGTCAAATCTAAATGTGTTTGAACGTGTCTGAAGTGAGTCAAAAATTTGCCTTATTGGGCCTAAATCTGCATAATTGTGTCTAAATTTTCCGAATTGTGGCAAAATCTGCCTAAAAATATCGATATCTGCCTTATTGTGCTGAAATAGGCTTAATTGTGCCGAAATCTTCCTATTCGTGCCGTAATCTATCCTAATTGTGTCTAAATCTGCCTAACTGTGTCTAAATCTGTTTAATTGTGTCTGAATCTACCTAATTGTGTCTAAATCTGTTTTATTGTGTCTAAATCTACCTAATTGTGTCTAAATCTACCTAATTGTGTCTAAATCTACCTAATTGTGTCTAAATCTGCCTAATTGTGTCTAAATCTACCTAATTGTGTCTAAATCTGCTTAATTGTATTTCCCCTGATATTTGATGAGCCTCGTTGTATGACCTATTATTATGTTCCGATCTGAAAATCCTGAAATGCAGATAGAATGCAGCAAACTTCCTTAATTAAAATATGCATTGATTCCCCCCGGGACCCCCTCCCCCCGGTACGTATATTGGTGAAAACTTTAATCAGAACAACAGTCTTTTTCTATTATTTTTTTCAAATTTCAAACTGAGATTATTTGATCTAATAGAATTCATAGTTTGAAATATCTAAGGTCTACAGCATTGGTAATTGAAAAAAAATAGGAATAAGAAAATCAGAGTTTGTGGCAAAGATCCAAATCCTTCAGGTCTACTAACATGTACTTGACTGTCAAAACTCCTTTCTTGTACAAAAAGAATTTTTCCTATTTTATTGGTTTCAACATATTTAATTATCTAATGTTTATTGAAAAATTCATAAATTTCACATTTTAAAGGAAATATTCATAAAAGTAATTTTTGTTTTCACAAAAAAGTAGTACAGGGGGGGTGTATTTATTCTCTTCAAAATTCATGTTTTAACAGGGTTTAAGTCGCTGAATTTGGAAAAATAAATGAATTATACAGTAAATATTGTCAAAAAGGGCGAAACTTCCCTTTTCATGTTAATTTTTTATTTCTTATTCTGCTAGAGAATCGAGATTAGAAGCTGTTCTTGGTTTATTTCGTGGTGTTAGCAATTACTATTTATAATATAGTTTGAAGTATTTATACACCTCTTCATAGAGATTATAAATATGGAGCACCTAGCCTTGTTTTTATCTTTATATCTTTATTCACCAACCACGATTTCTATACCAAGGAACTAGTAGTAAATATATAGGTGCAGGGTGTCCCAATAAACAGAACTGGTAGTAAATATATAGGACAGTGTGTCCTAATAAACAGAACTGGTAGTAAATATATAGGACATGGTACCCCAATAAACCCAAGGAACTGGTAATAAATAGATAGGACAGGGTGTCCCAATAAACATTACCAAGTAACTGGTAGTAAATATAAAGGACAGGATGTCCCAATAAACAGAACTGGTAGTAAATATATAGGACAGTGTGTCCTAATAAAAATAACTGGTAGTAAATATATAGGACAGGGTGTCCCAATAAACAGAACTGGTAGTAAATATAAAGGACAGGGTGTCCCTATAAAAATAACTGTTAGTAAATATATAGAACAGGGTGTTCCAATAAACAGAACTGGTAGTAAATATATAGGACAGGGTGTCCCAATAAACAGAACTGTTAGTAAATATATAGGACATGGTGTCCCAATAAACAGAACTGTTAGTAAATATATAGAACAGGGTGTTCCAATAAACATTACCAAGTAACTGGTAGTAAATATAAAGCTATCTATTGTCTATGTATCTATCTATCTAGTGTCTATCTATCTATCTAGTGTCTATGTATCCATCTATCTATTGTCTATGTATCTATCTATCTATTGTCTATGTATCTATCTATCTAGTGTCTATGTATCTATCTATCTATTGTCTATGTATCTATCTATCTAGTGTCTATGTAGCTGTCTGTTTTAAGACTAGATGAGAAAGGATGATCTTGTAGCAGATATACTGCACACAAAGATTTAACAGATTAAACAGTATCTTGTTACAACCCCTTCATCTGTTCATCCTTAATCCTTCATCCTTCATCCTTCATCCTTCATCCTTCATCCTTCATCCTCCTCCCTTCATCCTTCATCCTTCATTCTTCATCCTTCATCCTTCTTCCTTCATATTTTATCCTTCAGCATTCATCCTTTATCATTCATTCTTCATCCTTCATCCTTCATCCTTCTTCCCATCATCCCTTGAACCCCCTTGAACCTCCCCTTCCTATAACATCATTTTATCCACTACCCAGTGCATTAATAATTTTCCCCTTGACCTACGATCATACTGCACCATATTCCCCCTCCCCCCCCCATTTAAAGCATAAAACATTGCTGATTCCTGCTCTGTGATGGGTGAATGATAATGAGCCTTATCACGGAAGAGATAGACTGTAGCGGGTGTCAATTGGAAATGGGGTGGAAGCCCTTATGTTCATGGATTTTTTAGTTCATTATTTTAGTTTGAAATCTGAAATGCTTTTGAAAATTATAAACAAATAAGCTACTTTTGGGTTTCAAGTAAAAACTATCGAAGTTATGAGGTGTCAAAATTGGGCCAATAATTTCGCATAAATTAAGTATTTTCCATGTGTTCTGATTAAAAATAAAAAGGTTTCAAATATTGTAAATAAGATTTAATTTTTAAAATTAGTTGTATTGATTTTATATTAAAACTTTTCTGAAGCTAATGGGTGTAAAAAATGCTTTATATATAATTAATCAAATTGGTTCTTTTCCCGTCCTGTAGCAAGCTAAAATAAATTTTGAGCAAATTATATAAATCAACACTACATTTTTCCTTATCTAGTGTGCCAGGTTTAATTTGCTCTAAGAGCATGTAAAAACAAACTTGCCCTAAAAGGTTTGGTGTATGAGCATGTCTTATCTAGCCTGCTGTAATAAAATTGCTCTAAGAGCATGTTTAAACGAACCTAATTGGCTAAGTTTGCTCAAATTGCTCTAAGAGCATATTTAAACTAACCTGCCCGGTTGAGTTTGCTCTAGGAGCACCAGCAGCATAGCTAAGATATTCTCCACAGCTTCTAAACAAAGAAAAAAAACTCTTTAAAAATTTGTTTTTTATCAAACTATCCCGTCACCAAATTTAACGAATGGAAACCAGGAACTGATTACTGCCGGTTAAAATTTGAATCACCGGCAAAAATCCTTCCTTAATCTTTAACTTTGAATCGGTTATTCAAAATTGAACCGGTAGAAGGTAGTTAAGCAACGAGATGTAGCTCAAATTCGGCTCCAGTATTACTTTATTTTGGTTTAAAGTTACTGAACTCTCAATTAACTGTTTTACTTGACTTTAAAGAGTTTAAGGAGACTGTTTATAAATGTTCACATTGGATTAAAGGGAATGTTCTCAAATTTGCATTCGGCTTTGAAGTGATCGCTACCAATTATGTATCTGACTTTACAGGAACAGTTCCCAAATGTTCACATGTTGTAAAGGGACTTTTTCCAATTTAAAGGGAACATTCCCAAATATTTACCTAGCTTACAGCTTGGCTTAAAGGGACTATTTCTAAATTTTAACCTAGCGCAAAGGGACCTTTCCCAAATCTTATCCTAGCTTAAAGGGACTATTTCTAAAATCCCAAATCATAACTTGGCCTAAAGGGACTTGTTCTAAATTTTAACCTGGCGAAAAGGGACTGTTCCCAAATCTTAACCAGCTTAAAGGGACTATTTCTAAATTTTAACCTGGATGGTGGTAGAAAGTTTCCTGCTGCAACTGCCATCCCTAGATACGAGTATTTATCCACAGGAGAATCCTTTCACCATAACAATCAGGTTTATTATCTTTTAGCAAAAATTTCCTAAGAATTACAGGATTATCCACAAAGGATGAGGCTAAAGAGCCGATCTTAAAATTCTACAATTTGACAATCTCAAGGTTAAAAAAAAGAAAAAAGTTTACAGTAAGGAAACATGCAGTAAAAATTCCGAACAGTCGTCTCTGAAGTCTCATCTTTTTCGGGAAATCTTATAAAGGGTGACCCAGAAAAAAGGATGAAAAGAATATTCGGTGACCGTGCAACATTTATTAAAAAGCTTGAGTTTTTATCCCATTTATCGCATTATTGTAGGACTTTTAACAGTTTTTCAGGGTCACACTAAAATTTAAAATAAGGCGTTTTATGGCCATTCAGGGGCTAAGTTTCAAATTTAACAAATGTTACCAACAAATCTTTGAAGAATAATCAAATGTGTTTTAATTTTACTTCCTTGTTAAAGAAAACAATTGCAAACCTAGTGTTAACTGTATCCTTCATATCAATATGCAAATGAATAATTTAGTTGTAAACAAAACATCTCGCTTAGCAGTTTAAAAACTTCTACTTTAGTTTACACTAAACCTTGTAAATAAAAAAGTGCATATATAAACAATGCATAAATGGATACTTTAAAAATTTGGTTTGCATTTGGTCATAAACTTGTAGTGACTTGCACCAACGCCTTGTCATACATGACTTTAGACCAAAGGGTAGTTGTCTTATTTCAATTTTTCTTTAAGAAACATTAAATAATTGTTTATATAATGTGACAAGGTTTTAACATTCACCTCATTTCGTTTTTCGTAAATAATTCCTTTAAAGGGACTGTAGACGTAATTTGAGGTTACCATGTCCGGTAGCAAACCTTTGTCCATTTGTAGAGCGAAATTTCCGATATATTCGAAAGGGTACCCTATGGTCATGGACTTTAAACTGTTTGACCCTTTAAACCTTTGCTTGATCCTTTAAACCTTTGTTTGACCCTTTAAACTTGTGTTTGACCCTTTAAACCTTTTTTGACCCTTTAAACCTTAGTTTGACCCTTTAAACCTTTGTTTGACCCTTTAAACTTTTGTTAGACCCTTTAAACCTTTTTTTGACCCTTTACACCTTTGTTTGACCCTTTAAACCTTTGTTTGACCCTTTAAACCTTTATCCTATCGAGAATGATCATCCAAAGGTTTAAAGGTAACTCTTGTTAGTCGATAAATAGCGGGTATCTTCAAATTTCGTCAACAGCCTCTTGAGGTTTCATTAGAATTCTTTAAAGTTCCCACGGCCATGACAGGGAGAAAATGTATTTTTATTCCAGATTCTATGAAAGATATAAGTCTGGTAAACCCATAAACCTGGGGTAGTTTTAGAGGAAACAGCACAAACACAGAGTAGAAAATAAATAGAGTGGAATAAACTCTAAAAAAGTGTAAAATCGCAAGTTTTTTATGTACTGTCAGTGCACACTGCAAACCAAAAAACGCGCACTCTGAAACAAAAATTAACAAGACTTTTGCCAAATACTCCTCTTAAACTAAGCTTTTTTAACAAATGAATCTTCACACTGAGAACTGCTTAAAAGGAAAAAGTTGGATTATATGGTCAACCCAAAGACAGACGGCTGGTGATACTTCAATGAAGACCCGGTCTCAACAACAGAAAGTTTTAGTTCCCCTCTAGTATGATTCTCTTCTCTGTGGGGATACGTGTACTGGTCTTAAATATAGGATTTGATGAGGAGCTGAGATACGGTTTATATATACACAATATCATATTTCTCTAAGCTTAGAGTTCAAAACCATTATTTCTCAAGTTTTGGAGGAAATTTTAGGTTTCTCATCTTGTATATCTTGACAGATTTCATTTTTTGGTAGATTTAAACCTGGTTCAAAACGGTTTCAGAAACTTTTAACAACATTTTTATCTTGTCGATCGTCGGACATTGTACAATTTTACATCAGTTATAACTTTTGAACTTAGAATTCATCTCCATCTATAAATGGAGACCTACGAATTAATTTGATTCCTCCTTGATATCATACCCTGCAAGTGTAATTGAGGAATTAAGAATTCATCTTCATATTCAAAAGGGCGACCATTGGAAATAAATATCGAGATCTAATTGTACATGTACACCAAATTGTACATAATATTTACCTGACAATACCCCCACTGTTCACGTGCTATAGTTGTACATGTACAGTACATTGTACATAATATTTACCTGACAATACCTTCACTGTTCATGTGCTCTAGTTGTACATGTACAGTACATTGTACATACTATTTACCTGACACTACCCCCCACTGTTCATGTGCTCTAGTTGTACATGTACAGTACATGGTACATAATATTTACCTGACAATGCCTCCACTGTTCAAGTGCTCTATAGTTGTACATGTACAGTACATTGTACATAATATTTACCTGACAAAACACCCACTGTTCATGTGCTCTAGTTGTACATGTACAGTAAATTGTACATAATATTTACCTGACAATACCCCCCACTGTTCATGTGCTCTAGTTGTACATGTACAGTACATGGTACATAATATTTACCTGACAATACCCCCACTGTTCATGTGCTCTAGTTGTATCTCTACCAGCACATGGCTCCCAGGTCTCCTCGTATCTAAACCAAACAAACAATTATTTTTTTTTTTTTTTTTACAACTTTCAAGTTGCATTTTTTCGCAGAACTGCTTTATTCTTAACAGAAGTAAATAAATAAATAATTTAAACCCCATTTTCTCTTTATCAGATATACGATTAGGAAGATTCTTAGAATTTCCTTTCTTGTCTATGCTGCAAAAATCCGCAGGTCACTTTAAAAGTGCCGCCATTAAAAATAATCAATATTTAGATTTTTTGAAAAAACAAGGCAAGATACTTCATCAGACAAAGATTTACAGGGTAACACTGTGAATCGAGCATGTTCCTCATTAAATTGGAAGGTCACAATTAAAATAAAAACAGTCCCTTTAAGTTGGGGAAAAGTTCCAAATTTATGATGTCAGATAGGAGTCTTAACGCCTTCCGGACTTTACACTTTATTCTCACATTTATTCTTAATTATTACTCGGTTTATCTTCTTAGCAGGGTGATACAGAGGGTCCCAGTAGTTTGGGCTGATTTGAGGATAGTCGGCCATTTTATTTAGTTTGGATTGGCGGTCATTTTGTTTGGTTTGGATTGGCGGCCATTTTTTTATTTGGATTGACGGGCATTTTGTTGGTTTGGTTTGGTTTAGTGTGCTGAATATTTATGCTCCATTTTGTATATTAAAGATCGTAATCTGAAGCTAAATATCATCTAAAAAAAATATTTTGCTGTAACTCTTTTTAACACAATTAATTACTTAGTTTTATCGTGATCGATCAAAAAAATAAATAAAAGGGAATAATGACTATACTAAAATTTACTTCTTTATCGTATTTCTATCTGTTCTCCAAACATTTTTTAATCGCATACTGTTGGTTATTAGGGCGGGATAGAAATATAAATGATTAATATTCGATTTATTATTATGATTTATCCTTGATTCATCAACTCAGAAAGTTAGTCGATCATAAAGTCACACAACGCCTTGTTTCTTTGTTTTACCTCACCAACTCACTTATTCTTTTTGTAGCCCCAACCATATACATTTTAAAATTTCAAAGCGCTTGTTTTTAGCTGAAGTTAAACAAATTAATTGGCAAAATGCTTCTCGATTCTTGCGTGAGAGCTTGCTTGGTTTGAGGTGACTGATAAATCGCTACAAACAATTTTCTAATACCTATGTTTGCGACCTGGTGGCGTAAACCTGTGATATTTTGATCTAACAGCATTTATATTTTGAAATATCAAAGTTTTAGGTTGCAAAGATATAAAAATTAGAGGTTTAAGGTGAGTTATCAGGCTCTTTTAAAAATATCACTTAAATTAAAAAATAAAACTTTTTTTACCCTAGGCTCTGGGTGAGTGTATAGCACAGTCCCTTTCCCCATGAGAAATCTACACCTCGTCTTTCATATCTGTGAGCGCAGACAATTACTTTCTTTCCTAAACAATATTCTAAAATTAGCAAAATAATTTACTAAAAATATTCTAAAATTAGGAAAATATTTTACTAAAAAATATTCTAAAATAAGCAAAATAATTTACTAAAAAAATTCTAAAATTAGCAAAATATTTTAATAAAAATATTCTAAAATTAGCAAAATAATTTATTAAAAATATTCTAAAATTAGCAAAATAATTTCCTAAAAATATTCTAAAATTAGGAAAATAATTTACTAAAAATATTCTAAGATTAGGAAAATAATTTACTAAAACTATTCTAAAATAAGCAAAATAATTTACTAAAAAAATTCTAAAATTAGCAAAATATTTTAAAATTAGCAAAATAATTTACTAAAAATATTCTAAAATTAGGAAAATAATTTACTAAAAAATATTCTAAGATTAGGAAAATAATTTACTAAAAATATTCTAAAATTAGCAAAATAATTTCCTAAACAATATTCTAAAATTAGGAAAATAATTTACTAAAAAACATTCTAAAATTAGCAAAATAATTTACTAAAAATATTCTAAAATTAGGAAAATATTTTACTAAAAAATATTCTAAAATAAGCAAAATAATTTACTACAAATATTCTAAAATTAGCAAAATATTTTAATAAAAATATTTTAAAATTAGCAAAATAATTTACTAAAAATATTCTAAAATTAGGAAAATAATTTACTAAAAAATATTCTAAAATTAGGAAAATAATTTCCTAAAAATATTTTAAAATTAGCAAAATAATTTCCTAAAAATATTTTAAAATTAGCAAAATAATTTCCTAAAAATATTCTAAAATTAGGAAAATAATTTACTAAAAAATATTCTAAATAAAATTAGCAAAATAATTTACTAAAAAATATTCTAAAATTAGCAAAATAATTTACTAAAAATATTCTAAAATTAGCAAAATAATTTACTAAAAATATTCTAAAATAAGCAAAATAATTTACTAAAAAATATTCTAAAATTAGGAAAGTAATTTCCTAAAAATATTTTAAAATTAGCAAAATAATTTACTAAAAAAAACTAACACACTGTGGAGGCAACTTCACTTTTATAATCCTAATATCTTTGGAATCTGATGGTGTAAAACTTTAACATTTTTAACTTTGTTTATCGTAGTTCATAGTTTAAAATGTCAAAGGTGCACAATATCATGTTTCATGTATAATAATATATAGCAGTAATCCCAGTGTGTTTGTTTGATTGAACGATCATAACTCAGGAACCCCTTAACCGATTTTATCAAATTTTGTGGAACTCTGTAGAACCACCGGAATATTCTCTCAGTTAAATTTGAAAAGGTTGACTCTTATAAAGAAAACTTTATTTTCAGGCAGAGCTGGGTTTCCAAGTCAATATTGTTTTTGGTAGGTTATATAGTCTGAATACCTGGTCCTTGAGAATTGACTGCTACTCCTAACCATTGTCCATCCCTTTTCTCATCATATCTAAGTAATAATAATAATAATAATAATAATAATAATAATAGTAATAATAGTAATAATAATAGTATTAATAATACCTGGGAGGGTTTTCATACCCTGGAACAACACTGCGTAGAGGTTTACAATCTCCAGAACTTTGAGTTAAAGGACAGGACCAAAGGAGACCAGATCTAGATAGATAGATAGATAGATAGATAGAAATATTTGTGAGTCTGCATATTGCATGCCGAGAAGATAAATTTTATCTGAATAAGCTGTGTACTTTAATTATCTTCAGGTTACGGTATTAAGAGGTTGTCAACTTCATTTCAAGTAATCCTCCATTTGAAGATGTTAATGCCTGATTCACAACGGTACCCTACAAAATCTGCATATCAGCAAAATGAGGAAGTTATCACTGTTTCTCTATCTGTAGTTGATATCCCTGTTTTCTATCTGAAGTTGATATCTCTGTTTTGCTATCTGAAGTTGATATCCCTGTTTTCTATCTGAAGTTGATATCCCTGTTTTCTATCTGAAGTTGATATTCCTGTTTTCTATCTGAAGTTGATATCCCTGTTTTCTATCTGAAGTTGATATCTCCGTTTTCTAACTGAAGTTGATATCTCTGTTTTCTATTTGAAGTTGATATCCCTGTTTTATATCTGAAGTTGATATCCCTGTTTTCTATCTGAAGTTGATATCCCTGTTTTCTATCTGAAGTTGATATCTCTGTTTTCTATCTGAATGTGTTTTCTCTATCAAAGTGACTTGCAGATTTAAAAAAGAAGTAAATTATCAACATTTGTAAGATAAAGAAACGAAGATATCTTCCTCATTGATGCTCAGATAAGTGTGGGAAAAGGATACCGTTGTGAATTTAAATGGTGGGTCTTTTAAAATTACGCCCACAATCCCTTTAAACTCTTTATTTGTCATTTATTGACTTTCTTCAAGTGTTAGAATCTGTCAACTAAAGTTGTTTGTGTTTGGTTTTTCAAAATCTAATTAAAGTCCGAAAGTCTATATTTGTGTTTACATGTTTGTCAAGAAAAGGGAGTGAAATGTCTAGTTGTTTAATTTTATATTGGTCCGAACTTTATGGTTGTTAAATTTATCTCAAACTTTCAAAGTTATAAAATGCCAATCGTAAAACTGTTAAAAAGTCTAACTGTCTAATTGTCTAATAGTGTAAATGTCCAAATGCATAAATGTCTAACTTTTGAATTGTGTATCTCTAATAATATTCTCTTTATGTCTCCTAAGCAGTCTCATTGTATAAATGCATCATTGTCTAATATTCTAATATTTGAAATTGATTAACTTTCAAAATATCTGTATAACAACTTTACTATCCAACTGTCAAAATGTATATTTGTCTACGAATTTGCATATATATGTTTGTCGGATCAGTAATTGTGTTAAATGATAGATATTAAATTATGAATAAACCTGATTCATGCATATCATGTGTTTCATGCCTAAAACAAGCACTAATCTTATTAAAAAATCTTTTGTCGGTTTCCTAATATGCATTGCAAATACATGATATAAAATAACAATTTTTATAGGTACATAAGTATAATTAAATATTAATTACTTATACAGGGTATTCAAAAAAAGGAATATTTTGCACAAATTCAAACACTCTTTTAAAGTTATCTCATTTTTGACAAACATGTATTAAAATTTAATAATTTTATTTTTTGAGAGGCAATTCAGAGACCCTTTAAAAAATCTGTGAAACAATTTTACTCAAAATTAGATGAGTAGAAAAACAAAAGTGTGTTAATATTTTATTTCTAAAATACCTCAGAATCTGAAACACTAAACAGATCAGATGAGTATATTTGGAGATAATACGCGAAATTAAATTTAGAAACTCCGCAATTTTAGTTTTGAAAAAAAATCATTTGATAATTTTTGTTCTTTCTAAATTCGTATTATAGAATGAATTTTTGTGTTAGGCAAAAATGTCTAAATCAGAATAACAAGAAAAAGCTCAGAAAAGAGTGAATTATGAAAATATGTTGATTGTGAATTTTCTGAATTTGATTTAGCGCATTTTCTCCAAACCTACTGATCTGATCTGTTAAAGATTTTAAGATGTGATAGAAATAATATGTTTCCGCATTTTTGTTTTTCTAATTTTGAGTTAAAAGATAGTTTCGCGGATTTTTTAAGGGTCTTTCAGAAAATTTAAATTCAAAAAAATTGAAAAAATTTATACATATTTGTCAAAAATCAGATAAACAAAAAAAGTGCTTTAAAATATGCAGCTCTCACTATTCACCCTATTTTGACTCACTCCGTAGGTTTAATTAATATTTCAAAATTGCAAAGAAGAAACGATAACAAACATTTATCAAAAAAGTTTGAGGATTTTTAAAAAAAAATTCGTGGATTTTCAAAATTTTACTAACTTTGTTAAGGCTAATTTTTAAACTTTTATAAACTTTCATAAACCTTCACTTAATTCATGTGAGGTAAAATTTGTGTCCGATCAGTTCAGCCGTTTTGACGTTTATTGGATACAAACAAACAGACAAGCAAAGTATATTTAAAATGATAAAAATCAAAAATTTATTATAGCGTAACAACAAACGCCGTAGGAGTAATATAATTTAATCTAATAAATAGAATTGATGCAGATTTTTTTAGCAAATAATGGCGATAATTTAGCTACGCTCGGTTTGATCACAAACTAGTTTAAATAACTACTTTATTTACTTGACTAAAAAACTATATAAATTTACTTTGAAAAATCATATATCTTGAAACTAGGTGACGTGGCAGGAAATTCAAGAGAAGCCTGCCGCGTTCAAATATCCGGCTTCAGGTTGGATCGTCTTCCGCCACA